TCTCAAGTTAGACAATGAAAATATGAACAAGAAAAGACTTTGACTTTATTTGTTATCAACAGATCACTTTTTACATTCAATTAATCTTTTGTTTTGTTCACTTCTGAAAAGGTTTACCCAAAAAAAGAAGTTGACTTTTATTGATAAGCGCAAAATGATTGATCATCAAGTTGAAACAATAAATGGTTATTTAATAATTTGTTTAACAATCAAAATCAATGTCTACATTAATTGTCAAACAAGTGCGATGAAAGCAGTTTATGGAAAAGGGTTTTAGAGGGAAACTCGGTTAACCCAGTAAAGTGATGGAAACGATGGAAATGATTGCAATTGAAAGAGTAAACCATTTTCAAGTTTTGATGAGACTTCGACTTTTGACTTTAGTGTCTTACTTTTCGCTGTCAAATGTAGGTCGATGGATTGTAAAAATGAATTTATTTCTTGCATTTATTGCATCCTCATCACTGATGATCAGAAAAACATTGCCTTTTGCACTTTTTCCAGCTCAACCTGATTGCCATTTTACCTTGCTCTTTGCTTCAATCAGTAAATCCTTTTTCATCTTCTTCTTCTTCTTCTTTTTCCAGTCTTTTTTTCATAAATCACTCATCACAATTTTTCATCTTAAACAAGAAAACATTTCCCTTTTTTTCCATCAAAATTTATCGATGCCAGCCAAATCACCTCAAGGGCAAATTGGACCTCAAATATGGTTAATTTGGAATAAACTATCATCATCATAATCATCATCATCAGATTGATTATTTGTTAGTCTGTTACTTTTTCTTCTTCTTTCCTTTTTCTTACTTCTTTTTACCTTTTCTTGTGACTGCGACTTGATAACAAATGATTTACCAAATAGATTTTCTGATTACTGATTCACCGATTGACTGATGATCAGTTTCATGATCAGATAATCAGCTGATGAGCAATCTCTCTTTCTTTTCTCTTCATCCTCATCGATCATCTAAAAATGATATTGACCTTTTCGGCGGGTTTAAGATGGAGAACAAGTAAAAATCTGAAAATCAACTTACACAATTCAATTTGATTGATTTTCTGATGCAACTTTTTTTGCCAAATTGTCTGAGTTTGCCAAATAAAGAGAGAAACGGGAATCGTCAGGAGGTCCAATCTAACAGTGAGTATCATCATTTGAAGCCATCATCGGCACCATAAGATGCCAATCCAATCATCATCATCATCAAAAGGGAACATCATCAACCAAGATGATTCCTTTGGAAGAAAATTGACTTTGATTTCGTAAACACACAAATAATCAGTTTGCAGGTTGAAAAGTCCATCAATGGTTCAATCAAGTTGATTCCATCAAGTGATCATGTTAATGATTCAGTTGATAATGTTGATGAAGATGAAAAATTGTAAATTTACTAATATAAATAATAACAACTTTTCCCTCAATAAGCTACTTCTTTGCTTGCTATTAATAATTTATACATAATAATGTAATTTTATTGACCTCAGAGTTACTCATTCACAGCAGTTGATTGTCATCGAGTACCAACCATTAGAGTGTCCATTTGGGCGTTTGTTTGCTCACTTAATCAACTCAATTCAACTGAACTAAGAATCCAGTTGAAGAGAATGGAAATAATAATAGAAAAATAAATTTTAATCATTAAACAAATTTGAATAACAAACGAGTGAAATGGGTAAACGAGAGGGAATCACAAATCGCCTGCTTGCCTTCATTTTGTCCTTTTTTTCACTTGATATCCAGTCTTCATCAAATGACCCTAAATCAGTTGATCATTTGAATGAGTTAAAAGTCAATTATTATCATTATTTTTAACCCAAGCTGCTGCTGCTTTACTGTTACATTTGTGTTTTTTTTGTTGCTTGTTCATAAACAATCTCATCTATTGTGTTTAATGTTGTTGTCAAAGTGTTTTTCGGTGACTAGTTTCAAACAGTAATTAGAACTGTGCAAATTGTGGAACATCAGGGAGTGAAACGGAAGAGTCCAGAGAGAAGAAGAGTTGAAAGGAAAAAGATGCTGTAATGATGAGGATGAAAAGAGTGACAAAAAAACAGAGGATCGATGGTAATGTCATTAAGAAGAAATGAATTATAATTATCTTCGGTCTTTTGTTTTGGTCTTACACATGAATGTTTAGTGTGGTTGGCTTATCTTACAACTCATGTTAATTCATTGGTGAGGGAAAACGATAAATGCTAGTTTATCAGGAAGGGACAAGAGAGGAAAAAAAGAAGATGCAAAAGGTCATTTTGCTTGATAATGATGATAATGATGATTCAAAGCGATTCCAATAGAGAAACATTTTTTCTCTTCTTTTCCAAAATTGAAAAATTTCATTTTTTCGCTTCTTTTCAAAACAATCATTTATGGCTTCTTCATAAATGACTAAACATTGGCGGTGATGAACAATGATGCAAATGAAGTGAATGGTGAAAGAGGCAGCAAGGAATAAAAGGGTTAAAGATGTCGACTTGAAGAATTGGAAAGAAGAAGAAAAAAAAGTAAATTTTTGTTGACTGATTAATGATAATTATTTTTATGGTAAAAGGTGATAAAGATGAGAATGGAAAAAATGAATATTTTTTGAATCGCTAATTCTGTGTTCATCTATTTTAATTGGAAAGGAACAAGTTATGAACTTATTACTAGTGAGGCAAGATGAAGATAAAGAGTTGGATAAGAGTGTGAAGAAGAAGAAGAAGAAAAAAAACAGAATTGAAATAGACTTTTGTTTTTCTTCATCAGCCATCAACTCAATATTATCATGGTTAAGAAAAGAGGAAAACAAAAGATGATTTGAAATGATTATGATGATAAAGATAATGATGAAGATGAGAAAGAAATCTCTTGATAATTCTATTCAAGTCAATGTGTTTTGTGAATTGTTTTTTTACCTCATTTCTAGTTGAGATAATTAGAAGCTGAACAAGATGATGAAAAAAGAGGGAAAAAGATGCGGTTTTACAATGAGTAAGAGTCGAAAGTCAAGTCAAGCTGAAAAGTGAAGATACAGGGAAGAGGAAAAGATGAGAGCGAAAGGTTGAGAGAAAAAAACTCATGGAAATTGAGGTTACCCTTAAAGTGTTTTTTTGTTACATTGAAACTTATTAAAAGGATGAAAGGCGAAGATGAAAAAAAAATGTTTATAAAACAGTTATGATGATGGAGTTGAGAATGTCTTTTGTTTTGCTTATCAAATCATCAGCCGATTGTTGAAGGAGAAATGATGAGGATGACTTTCATCTTTACTCTTCTTTTGTTTCTTTGGGTGATAATTTTTTTCTCATTTTCAAGCCCAAAATTCATTTCCATCTCAATTTCTTTAAACAATTGATTTGATATGCTCACCTTCATCATCTTTCTTTCCTTTTTTTCTTTGCTCAGGGAATTTATAATCATTATTATTGTGATTATCATTTTGTTCAAATCACAGAAAATGGAAAAGCAAAAAAATGTTAAGAAAAATGTTCAAAGATGACAATGACTATCATGAATATAAAATTAGAGAAGAGAAAAAAATCTTTTTAATCTTATTCTTTTCAACTTTAAACTCTATAATAACTTTTCACTCCCAGCATAGTTTTTTAAGCATTCAATATCAATGTATCAGTTGAGGTTGGAATTGAAATTTGTTGGAATTTCATTTTTTAAATTTTTCCTTTTTTGTTCTGTTGAAACAAGTTTGATTTGAATGATTTTTGTGTCCAATTGGAAAGAAAAAAAGTTTCAAGAAAAATTTTCATATTAAGCTGATTTTCGCCTCACAATTCAATTCAATTAATCACATCCTGTTTTGGGGTTAAATTAAAGGAAATCATGATTAGGAACAATTGGTCGATCCATTAAAACAGATAGAAAGTTTCAACAATTACGATTCATCATCATGTTAATCAACTGATTTATTCAACTTTTAACCTAAAAAATTGAATGCTGAGGACGATGTTAAGGCAAACTCACTGATTAAAACTTTTTGCTGTTCAATGATTTGTTAATTGCTTTCAAATTTGGATAACAATAAGTTACTAGCAAAAAGATATGATTAAATCAAATTGCAAATTATCTCCATCAACTCATTGCAATTGGAATAATATCCAAGGTTGATTCAATTTTCATCACATCATTAAAAGATAATCATCATCATTATTATTGCCATTATTGTTGTTATTAATATTAACTATCATTATCAGTGTTCATTGTTACACAGCAAAAGTTTATTATTGCTTTCATTATTTGTCACAATATCACAAGGTTGTTCATCACAATGAACATTATTCAAGACTGAAAGGGCTCGCAAGCCAATGGCTTTCAACTGGACAACATCATTTTGAGCCTTTAAATGAATTTGCAAATTGTTATCGCGTTATTGATATTGTTATTTATTTTCTAACTTTAAAGTTAATTGCAATTCATTAACCGCCATACACTCATTATGAGCGTCTTGTAATTATCATTAACTACAAAATGAACGAATCATTGAACACACACAGACATTAATTGTGAACATTTTTGTACCATTATAAGATACAAGTGTGCAAGTAAATGGAAAGCAAAAAAAAGTCAATTTTCAACTTTTCATTGAAACTAATAATAATGGTTAAGCAAATTAAATTCACTGATGAGTAAATTTCAACAATTAACTTTACCAAAAGTTTAATTGAAAAACTGAAGCAAAAAACCTAATAAAATACTGAGATCCATATTGAGATGAAAGAGTTTCATTTTTGCTCCGATTTCTTGCATATGAAAAGCTCGACTTTTGTCGCAATTTTTTATCGAAATTTTCATTCTCGAATGCCGAAAAGTTTTTTGTTCTAATTTTTAAAATTTTTGCCTTTTTTATGCTTCGATTTTCTACTTTCTACTTTTTGATTTTTGGCTTTCTGTGTGTTCATTGGTTCGATAAGTTTTGTTTTGAAATTTAGATTTTTGGATATTCGATTTTTCAGATTACTGAGATTTCGATTGGTGATTGAAATGATTGAACAATGATTTTATTAAGTTTTTCAGTTTTATTTAATATTTTTTTTTCGAATTTTGACTTATCAAATTTTTCGATTGTTGCGTGTTTTTTGTTTTGAAATGAGGTGGGACATTATGAGTTATATACTGAATGAGTTTAATTAATCGATATCTTCGTTTTCATTTTCGCCTTCTGCCATTTGCGTATCGTCTTCGTCTTTATCTTCATTTTCAACTTGAGTCATTTGTGGATGATCTTGATCCTCTTCTTTATCATCATCTTCATCTTTATCTTCCTCTTCGTCTTTATCCACAGTTTCGGTCAACTGTGTTTGATCTTCATTTTCGTCTTTATCTTCGACTTGAGCGATTTGTTGCTCATCTTCATCTTCTTCAGTTTCACTGGTCGATGAAAACTGGTGAGCAACTTGATCGTCTTGTTTGGTATCACTGTTGTTGTTGGAAGAAGAGGATCGCTGTTTCTTGTGCAATGATCGACCATGGTGTGAGTTTAAGCGCCTACGATGTTGATTAGATTCGTCCACTTCATCCTCTTCATCGTCACCGAAACAGTCAATGTTGGGTGCAACCCATTGAGGCATGGCTGGCTTTCGCCGTGAACTTGAACTTGTAACTATGGCAGGTTTACGTCGTGAACTACCCGTTGAAGGGAACCCTTTGGTTGACCCAAAGCCAGTCAGTGAGGGTCTCACCGAGACACCAGCTGAAGCAATGGTTACACTTATGGTTGGTGCTGGTCTAGAGGAAAGGTCAAGCTCACCTGAGACGGGTGATGAGGCGTTTGTTGATATTGCGTTCAATGTGATGGTTGTGGTTGTGTTGTTTTTACCATGATGATGAGATGATCCTCTTGATGAGTGATGAAGAGATCTTTGGGAAGATGATAATCGATGGTGAACTCGTCTAGAAGGAGATGAATCTTCAAGTGAACCAGTTTCACTGTCAGAGTCTTCAGTTACCGAACGGTTACCACCCATTGAATAAAGAGATTTATGATGATGAGAAGATTGCTGTTGTTGCATCGATGATCGGGAAGAGGGAAGATGAGATTTTGAAGACATGGAAAGATCTAGAGTACCTATTTCATCTTCCTGATATGATGATGAGGCTGGTGATGAACAACTATTTGGATTGTAATAAAGATGACCGGATGAAGAATGGTGAACATCATTTGAACCAAGATTCAACGATGAATAAGATGAACTTTTATGATGAGATCCATTGCCACCGCCGCCACTTTCATCACCGGTAAGATCAAGATCATTCAGTCGTTGACTGAGTGCAACCCTAAAAGTGATTGGATCAAAGGTCATTCCATCTCGGCCCATACTGTAAGCGAGTGAAGTGTTGCCAGTCGACGAGTTTTCATCACCGGCAATCGGCTGATTGGGCTGCTGTTTCAATCGCATCCGATGATTGTGGAACCAGTTGGTTATCGTTCTAACGGAAAGGTCAAGTTCGGCGGCAAGAAATTCCATGGTTGCAGTTGACGGGTAAGCGTCCATTGAAAAGGCCAACTTGAGAGCCTCTTTTTGTTTGGAGGTAAACAAGATTCGAGGTTTTTTGGCGGCCGTTGAAGAGGATGAACCGAAAGGCGATGAACAGTTGATTGAAATTATTGTATTGTTGTTGTTGTTGTTGTTGATGTTGCTCACATTGTTGTTGCCTAAATAAGTTGATGATTGATTACCGGTTGACAATGAGCGGAATGATGAAGGTGAAGAACAGGAATTGTTGTTTAAAGCTGAAGAGTACATATTGCTTCCATGTAAATGGTTACTTAGGCTACTTCCGGTGGTTAAATGGTGATGAACATTTGCATTGTTGGAATCGACGTGAAGTGAAATGTGATTTGAATTTGATTTGGTTGATGAAAGGGATGAAACTTCATCGCCATTGATTCGCCGTTTCTTGTTCATCTCACGACGCTCATTTTTAAGCGCTTGAAGACGCTCAATGTTGCGCGGTTCGGTTAACCAGATTTGCATTCGGATAAAAGGTTCACGGCCTTTGATGCTCAACATGTGCCAAGGTTTGGGTTTAGACAACAATTCACTAACAGAACCTTGAGACAATCCTAAAACAATTTCACCAAAAATCTAAGCATAAAAAGAAACAGAAAGAAAAATTTGTCAGCATAATGTTCAAAAGTTCAAAATTCGATTCTGATTAAATTTTAGAAATTTCGAGTGAAATTTTTGTTCCATTCTATGCGATTATGAATCAATGTTTTCGCTTGAAAAGATTCTCTTTCTAATTCATGTTAGATGATCATTTGATAAATGGAAGAATGAAAAGTTTGAATTTTTCTTTTCCATTTTTCATGTTTTCCTTTTTTCATTGAGAGTTGATTTTAAGGTAAAAAATTTGTTGAAGCTTCTTTTTACCCTTAAAATGCAAAGAAATGATTTTCATGGAAATGAAAATGGAAAAAAAGAAATGAATAAGAAAACTGAAAATTCAATTTCAATGATAAAATAAATGAACGTCAAGTTGACAGTAAATGAAATAAATGAAAAGGAAGAGAGAAATGATTCTAATGTGACGAAATTTCCAATAGAAAACAATTTTCTGAGAAAAAAACTGAATGCTCTGAATAATAATTTTCATTTCAGGGGAGTTTCATGATAATAATAAATAGGCTAATAAGGTTAATGTTGATGGAAAGCAATCGAGGTGAGAGAATCAGTTGTTGATGATATAATGTGACAGACTCGATGTCAACCAATAAAATGGAGTTGAAAGTTTAGTTCAGACTCACAATGAATCCAGAAAGAAAGAGAACATTCAGAATTCAGAATCGAAAAAGAGTTTTGGAACATGAGTAGTTCGACGAGAAATCTTTTCTTTTCTATAAATTTTGTTCTTTCCCATTAGTTTTCACTCTATCTTTTTTTCCCCTCAGAATCACTCTTCTTTTTTCATGAAAATGGCAATCATGAAAGATGAGGCAAAAATGTAAAGAAGGAATGAAAGAAAGAGAATCAACAGAAAGACAAAAATGAACATTTCGTTACCTTTTGTCCTATATTATGAGCCATTAATGTTTCCTTTATTTTAGTTGTTATCGCCTGAGTATCAAGATCTTGAGTTAGAGCTGCCATTTCATAGACTGAAGGTTGCATATAGGAGAGACCAGCAACCGCCACGGCAGCGGCAACAGAGGAACGTTCACTTCCTGAAGTAGAACCATCATAGCGTCGTTTTAAATAACTTGATGAACCTGAAAAAAGAAAATGATTTTAGCAGAAAATTAATTTTCTTGCATTTCTTTGCTTGTTGGCTGCGCGCAACTTTGCTTCAACAACAATCAACTCTTGTGAGTGTGCATTAATGGTTAATTGAAACTTGCGATTGTTCAATTGATATTGTAATGCGATACTTGTAAAGTGTGTGTGTGTGTGTTGCCTGATAACTTTAAATGAACTGAAAATGAGAGTAAAAATGTGAGAAAACAATGGATGCAATTTATTCAGAGAAAAGCCTTTATGCCCAGTTTAACCGTTTACTGAGCGGCTCTGTGTTTAACAGTAAACTTGATTTTCTTTTCAAATTAACTTGAGATATCTTTTTACACTAAAAGGGAGAAAAGGGTAAAACTCAAGTTTATCCAGAATCGCAGGCAACTGCAATCTATTAGCTAATAATTTGTTGATTAAATTAAAAATGAATTAAATCGCATTTCATCTGATTACTTTGAAAACCTTTTCTCGTCTGTTATTTTAATTTAGTTTATCAATCAAATTTTCTTGTAAAGTTAAATATTACTCTAATGTATCATGTTTGCAAGTACATGATAATGATTTTGATGATCTTTTTTCTTCTTTTTTTTCTTGATTTTCTTTTTCAACTTTTGATGTTATACATGATGATAAGCATGTTGTTGCTCAGGTTACAAGTTATTAGATAAATGTATTGTAATCTTACCTCTTGGAGGTGAATGATTAGCTGAAAGTAGAGTTGCATTGGGCGTGTGTTCAGGTGTAGATGCTGATGATATTTGACCCGATCCATTACCATAAACTGGACTTGATCGGGATGCAAGGGAAGTGAGATCAGTTCGTCCCACTGAATCAGACAAAAGTTTGGCAGAGACTGATGAAACTGATGAAGGTGATCCTTTGACTGATCCACTGGTAATTATGCTAGCAGTGTTACCATGATTGGGTGAAAGGGTTGCATGAGCTGAGGGTGTTGTTGGTGCAGCAACTGGACCGGTTGAAGGTAAACCAGTTGAATTTGTATTGCCACCGGTAACATTACTGGTCATGGAATTACTTACAACCATTGAACTGGCCAGTGCGGCTGCTGTTGTTGGTGTTGTTGGATTGGCGGAACCTGAATAGCTTCCGGTTCTCATCAGTTTTTCAGGTGCAATCTTGTATTGTGAGGCGACCAACTTGTGAACCGCATTGTCATCTTCAAGAAACATTTTCATTCTAATGAAAGGTTCCCGACCCTTTTGGGTCAACATGTGCCATGGTTTGGGACGAGCAAGCAAATCAGAAACTGAACCCTGGGAAAGTCCTAAAACTGATTCACCGAAAAGTCGTTGACTAATTGAATACTGACTTAGCTGTTCTTTAACCTTCTTGACGATGTCTTCAGTATTTAAATTGTTGTAATGGTCAAATTGGTTTTGAGTGATTGGTGGTAAAACGGCTTTCGATGGTCGTGAGGGTGTCGATGAGACAGGAGGGACTGATGATTGGGATAAAAGTGAATTTGTAATTGATTGCATTCGCTGTAAGGGTGATGCTGAGGCTGATAAATCTTCAGCACCAACCGATCCACTATTGTTGTTGGCAACACTGTTGCTATTGGCACTGCCATTGTTACTTGTGTTTGCATTGGTTGCTGTTGGAGTTGATAAATTAGAGGTGGAAGAAGATGATGACCCATTCGACCCAAGATCAAGCCCACTTAGAGAGGGTAAACCAGCGGCAACTGCTGCTGCTGCAGCGGCCGCAGCGGCGGCAGCAGCTACGGCAGCAGCTGAGGTGGGTGAATAGGGTTGCTTACTGTTGGGCTCTGATTTGGGTCTAACAAGGGAAAAGGCACTAGTTTGCGGTTGGTGTCGATGATGATGGGAAGAGTCATCGTCCGGAGTGGGAGTTGATCGATTGGCAGAATTGTCGTTACCGTTGGAAGTTTGCGATAAATTGTTGACTATTGAAGAGGAAAGGGTTGGTGGTGGTGATGATGAGGGACTGTTGTTGGATTGTTGATGGTTAGACTCGCGAGGTGATGAAGACTCTCGACCTGGCTCAGGACTGCCCTTGCCTTCATGGCCACTTCGACTGGGTGACCGGGAAGAAGGTAAATTAAGACCGGGTAACATGTGCGGAAGTCCAAGGTAACCTGCTCCATTGACTAGAGAGGCAGCGGCAAGACGAGCAAATACTTCAGGATCAGTTGCAGCCGCAGCAGCCGCAGCAGCAGCTGCCTGTGAGTTGAGGTGACCCACACCAGCAGCAGCAGCAGCAGCACCCGATGAGACCAGTTGTTGGTGAAGACGAGACAATTCTTGATGATAAATGGTGATTGCTTGACGAATCTGTTCTGGACTTCGGTCAAAGGCAAGACCATGAGGATGGCGGAATCCCTCTTCAACCTGTTGACCAATAATTTTTACCAATTCTTCCTGGTAAATTCGTGTAACCAAATCATGGGACATTTGTTGATCATCACCTTCACCACCAACATTGCCATTCCTACCTGTCCGTGAAGATGATAAAAGAGCTGAAGAAGAGTTGACCAGAGGATGAGAAGAAGATGAGGTTAAATGATGAGAATGGTGATTAGATATTGCACTCAAACCCGTGGCCAAGTCAATGGCATTATTACTATTATTGTTACTGGAAGCAGAATTGAGATGAGAAAAGTTATGATGCGAATGATGAATAGATGAAGATATAAGAGGTGGCGGTGATCGACCTCCAGGAGTACTCCTCTCCTCGCCACCCGAATCACTTGAGCTTTCCAGGTCACCAGATTTTTCCCTTTTAACTAAACCCAGTGGACCCATCATTTCACCATTGGACAAGAGACCAGAAGATAATGATGACCCGGTAAGATTGAGTCCCGATCTCAACAGGCCACCACCCGATGAGCCAGTCGAAGATCGTATAGATGAAGGTGTCAACATGGCTCCTTGGGCTTCAATCAAAATTTGACGGATCTTTTCTTCAGCCGCTGGATCATCTTGCTTAAAACTGGTCGTCTCTTTACCTAATCAAATACAAAAGCACAGAAAAAAACGAAATGACAAAAAGTTCGTAGGAAGATGAAAGTTAATGAAATAACTTTGAAATTGATGATGTTATTGAAATTAGTTAATAATAATGTTAATAATCACAATCATTATAATAATTTGATGTTTCATTTTGATAGGTAAGTGGAGGTGGAGAGAGAAAAAAACGAGAAAAATATTGTTCTTTTTGTCATCTTTTCATTTTCTTTTGCAAAAATAAGCTTAAACTTGTAAGGAAACTCTCTTATTGCAAACCCGTAGGCCAGGTAAGGGCAGGTTAACCATCATTAATAAATAATATTATATTAGGTTAAAGGTGATTTAAATCATTTAGGAACAAGAAACTAATCAAGTTAACAAAATTTTTCTTCTTCTTCTTCTTATTTCTTATTCCAACCCAAACTGAAAGGCAATATTAGCGTCAAAAGTATTGACCTTTGCATTTGGATAACTTTTCAATTTATCCTCATCATCCTCATCTTGATCACCCTCAACATGAGTGGAGGATTAAAGGCGTTGACGATGTTAAGTGATTAAAGTCACTGGGGTGACTGTAAGAGTAGGTTCAACGATTTTACGTTTAATAGTTAAACTTGAAATGTTTTTATTTCACTTTTAAAAATGTCATGAAATTGGTAAAGTCAAAAGTTTTTCTTTCCATTTCCATCAACATTTGGAAACACTTTCAAAGAATCTGGAAAATTCAATTTCGTTTATCTAAATGCTTCTTTCTTTCTCTCTTTATCGATGCTTACGAACAATTCATGTTCAGTTATAGGTAAAGTTTGAAAAAACAGGAGTTTCTGTTTTTCTCATGGAAACTTTATTCTTCCCTTTACTTTCTCTCTTTCGTTCAGAATTGGGTTTGGTTTAAATCAATGGACATGAGTGACCACTTGAGTAGCACATTTTACCTCCTATTTGCTGTCTCTCGCCATTCGATTCATTTACTTTTTGCTTCTCTTTCCCTGCTTATTCGTTCTTCCAATGGATCAGATCGCAATGACTTTACGATCAGAATCTCAATTCTCAACCAAATCACTACTCATGTCCAGAAACACACCCAACGAAAGCAACTCCTCCTTCTTGCTCAATTCAATTGCATCGATAGACAGAGAATATCAGAGAAAGACGAAGAGCAAAAAAAGAGGAAACAAGAAGATGAACAAGAGAAGATAAAAAATGAACTTTTTCCCTTACAATTCATCTTCTTTCACTTCCTTTTCCATCTTTTTTCTTCTTTGACCAATGTTGATAACAAAATTCTTGAATCGATAAATCATTTCCATGATCATTATAGAGCAAATTATCATCAAAATAAGAGCACCAAACAAGATTAAAATTGGTTTATAATGAAAGTTGATTGTGACAAAATTTGGACTCAATTAAAATTAAAATGAGTCCAAATTGTTTCTTGAAAAGCATCTTTCGAGTGAAATGTTTTATTTCAAGAAATGATGAGAAAACGAGAGAAAAGCAAATTAAAGCGATCTAAATAGGAAGTAATGGAGCAACTATTAACTGTTGATTATCGTTGAGTTGAATTGTTCAATAGTAAAGGATGAAAATAGTTGATCTATAAAAATGTTGAAGGAGGAGGAAGGAATAAGAATAAGATGATAATGATGATAAAGGTGAAATGGAATATCGTTTTTCTCTCAAAAAGGCCATTCCCATTAAGATGATATAAGATCAAGTGCTATATTAAGCTATAGAGGTCATTCAGATGATGATGATTAGATTTTGGTTCAAACAAAGGAAAAGGTAAAAACAAGTCTTATTATTTATCGATTGTGAGCAAATGCAATTGACCTTTTCATTCTTTACCATTATCTTCCTAATCATCATCATCATCATATTCATAGGTAAGCACCTTCTTTTCATGCATTAAATTAAGATTTAGAAGAAGAAAGAGGCAAAAAGAGAATGAAAGAGAATGGCGAAAAAAAACATTAAAAAATGTTTTCTGATGTTGAGGGAGTTTAATCGTGAGAGTTGCAGTCCATCATTATCATCATCTTTTTTTTGTTGTTGCAAACTTGAAAGATAATGTGTTCATCAAGAAGAAGATGAGGAAGAAAGTCGGAGTGAAATGGGTAAAATAGACAAAAGAAAGAGATGATTTTGATGATGAAGGAGGGTGCATGATGCGATTATGAATCTTGTTACACGTCTAAGGTAATTTTATTGAGTCAAATGATGGACAAGTTGGACTATTGAAAGAGTTCAATTTTCAACTCTGAACGGAATTTGGAAAAAGGGAAACAAGAAAAGTTGATAATAGAGGCTCGTGATGTGAATACATTTTTAACTGGCGTCAATAATGATGATGATGATAATGATGATTGTTATCATGATTATCGTCAATCTTGTAATTATCATTACACGCAATTCAATTTATTTATTAATGCAAAGTTTGTTTGGAGTTGAGAGAAAAGTTAAATTGCATTTTCCATTGTTTCAACTGTGACAATTTTAAATTTAAATTAACTTTAATCAAATAAGGTCAAGGTTAGAATGCGATTAATCCAAGTTTTTTTTGCGTTTTTTTGAGGAATAAAGTTTTTCCACATTTCTCTTGAGATTGAAATTTTCAGTTTAGTCAAAATGATATTCATTGACAAATCAATTAACTGTTCCTGGCCTTTGAAAACAGAACCTTTTCCGATTTCATTTTGTCTTTACAATCGATTCAATTGTTGAACTTTTGTTACAAAATGTGGATCAATTGCGTTGAGACAATGAGTTTCATTGATGGTTTAATGAATGCTAATCAATAGTTGAAAGGAAATTCAATAAATTCTTTGATAACTGAACATGAGATGTATGATAAGGTGAAGTAAAAATTATGATTGACTGGAAAGTGGAAAGGGAAGAGAAGATTGATTTATAGGTTTCATCTTTTTACTGCCAATTTGTATCTTCTTTATCATCCTTTACTTCTTCATCTTCCTGCAATTCTTCTATCATTTGTTCCAATACAATTGACTCAAGCTCTATAGGATGCCAGTTGTGTTAACTCAATGGAACCATGTAATCAACAGAATCAAGGTAAAGGTGAAAATTACTTTAACCATGTAAACGCATTCAATTGACCTTTTTTTCACGGTAAACCTTATACCATTTGTGGTTGGATAAATGATTGAACAAGTTTTGTTTTGTCAAGATTGTCTTTGCAATTGACTAAACTGAAACTTTAATCAGTGAATGTTGATTGAAAAAGGGAAAAGTTGAAAGGGTTGATTTGATGATGAAAACAAGATGTGCTGAGAAAAAGTAATCAAATTGAATCATTTGTTGTTGATTTATATTTTGGATTATTTATCAAAGTCGAAGTGTGTAAATAAGTAATAAATAATAAGTGGAGAGAAAAAAAACAAACTCGAGTTTAACTAAAGATGAGGCTAAATTGATGATTATAATGATGAGGATGGTTGGGTAAAGGAAGAAAATTGTTGTATTAATGATGATGAGTAAAAAGAGATTGAATGGAGAAGATGAAGAAGCAGTGAGTGTGTCGATTAAAAGCAAATAAATGATTACAAGAGAATTGATAATTTCTTATTCAACATCACCCTTTGCCATTTAATGTTGCACTTACAATGAGACCAACAGAGAGAAGAAGCGCCTTTGATCAATTATTGAAATTGTAATAAGGAGAAGCGCAGCAAAAAAAGCAAATTTATTTCAATCAGTTCAATATTAATATTGAAATGAAAACGGCAGAGCAACTTGCATTGAATGTGAACAAGATGAGAAACTGTGTTTTGTTAACCAAACTTACATATAAATAATAATAGCAATAATAATAATGGCAATAATAATGATATTAATATAATATTTAACTATTAAAATTGTCGATCAAGTGAATTCCGTGATAAATAAATAAATATTAGCAATAAAGAGTTCTAGTGACAGGGAGAGAGAGAGAGATGAAGATAAGGCGTAAAGGATGTAAATGATTGTAGAGTGAAAAAAGTGAGTAAAAGGATTGAAAACCCCTTTGAATGTGTGTAAAAAAAGAGAGTGAAAGAAGAAAAGTGATGGAAAAATCATAAAGCGAAAATAAATGGATATCAACAGCGATGGGAATGATGATGAAGAGCGAGAAAAGGGTGAAAAAAATATTGCAATATGCAAAATGATGAACAACAAGAAGAATGTAAAGTCAATGGAATAACATGGAAATATCTTGAATAATTTCCCTTCCAATTGGATTAACCTTGGTTTTGCTGTTTAGCACAAAAATATTGGTTTAAATGGTTAAACAAAATTTGATAATAATTCAAAAGCAAACAATATAAGCATGATGGATTCCGATACATTTTTTTTGTTGCAACTTCTTATGATAACAAAGAAAGAGAGAGAAAAAATCAAGTGAATGAAGGATGAAGTTAAATAGATGATGGGAGATGATGAGAGATGATGAGAAATGATGATAAGGAATAAGTGTAAAGAATCACGTTAAACCCTTTCGCTTTGTGCTGTGCTACTGTTGTTCAATGTTTGCTCGTAAATAATAATGTAAAAAATGGCTAACTTGATGAAAAATGATTGTTGACATCAGGGTAATATTAATATATATTTTGTTGGATATATTTATTTACCAATGTGTGTATTCATATAAACATATCAGAAACATTTCAGTATTAATCTCTTATCATCAACATCATCTAAATATTCAAAGCATCTTTTTTTTCCTTTTCATTTTTTCTTTTTCTTCTCTCCCTGTAAACAGTTTTTCTGAAGATTATTTTTTTGCTTTCGTTTTTTTCCCTTTCTCTTCATTTATTTCCATTCACATTTCATTTCTTCCATGTAAACAAATGTTTACCAAACCAGTCAATATTGTTGGTTTCATGGCCATGAATAATGTTCAATTAATGATAATATTAGATGTTGCATCAAGTTTCTTGACATTTCCCTGTTTCGAGAAGAACATTTTATCAGATCAAAAATTTATCTTTTTCATTAACAG